CGTAATATGCCTGGGACAGGGCAATCCAGAGGAAGCTCTCAAATTATCTCTGCATTCATGGGGCTTCCATATTTTTCTAAAACATCTCTATTCTTGGGGCACCTGGGTGGCTCAGTGGTTGAGCACCTGTCCTTGGCTCAGGTCATAATCCTGGGGTCCTCGGATCGAGACCCACATCAGTCTCCCTGGGTGGAGCCTGCTTCTCCCTCTGCCTGTGTCTCTGCCTCTCTCTCTGTGTGTGTCTCTCATGAATAAATAAATAAATAAAACCCTTAAAACAAAAAAAAAATTCTATTCCTTTTTCTACCAAAAAAAGCGTTATTTGGACAAAATGATCATTTAGGGCATTCTATCAACCAAAAGCAGAAACTCACAAACTATCCCAAAATGAGCCTCTTCTTTCAAAACTCTAAGGAGGAGGTTCTCCAGATTCACAAGGTGGAATATTTAATGACTCAACCTGAGTGGGAATTTATTCTAGTCCATTAATAGATAATTTCACAAAAAATCAGAAGTATGACTTGTAAATAGCGCTATGGGAAAACATTTAAACTCCTTAGACAATAAAAAAATAAAAATTAAAATATGTAACTTTTCTATTAAATTAGCCAAAAAAAATATTTTTTAAGATATTAACCAATGCTGCCAAGACTAAAATAAAACCAGAATTCTCACACGTTGCCCGTGAGGGAGCCCAGGGTATGAACCGTTAGCAAAACAAGTGAGCATTGGTTTCAAGAACTGTAACAGGCTCCTGTCCTTTGACCCAGTAATTTCACTTCTGAGAACCCAGTCTAAGAAAATCTCTCAAAACAGGGGAAAAGTCATGTCCACCCTCATGTTCACAACATTGAACACTATTTCTAACCCTGGAAAACTGGAAACAACATAAATGCCAAATTATGAGTAAATAAACTATATTATATCATGTGAATGGACTGTTTTCCTCTAAGTATTAAAACTGATGGAGAAATATGAAAGAAAATACATTAAAATGTTAAAAGGTGGGACGCCTGGGAGGCTCAGAGGTTGGGCGTCTGCCTTCAGCTCAGGTCATGATCCCGGGGTTCCAGGATCGAGTCCCGCATCGGGCTCCCTGCACGGAGCCTGCTTCTCCCTCTGCCTGTGTCTCTGTCTCTCTCTCTGTGTCTCTCATGAATGAACAAATAAAATCTTTAATAAATAAATAAATAAAATGTTAAAGGTCAAAATGTTACTGGGGAAAAAAATCAAAATATAAAATTGCATACCTACAGTGATCACAGCTGGGAAAAACCCTGAATAAAAGCTTCTAAGATGCCGGACAGCTGGGTGGCTCAGCAGCTGAACGTCAGCCTTTGGCTCAGAGAGTGATCCTGGGGTCCTGGAATCGAGTCCCATACCAGGCTCCCTGCAGGGAGCCTGCTTCTCCCTCTGCCTGTGTGTCTGCCTCTCTCTGACTCTCATGAATAAATAAATAAAATTAAAAAAAAAAAGCTTCTAAGATTCTAATAGTGATTCCGTTAGAGTTCAGACGTTCAGACTTTAGGTGCTATGCTGCTAAGGTCCCTTCCTGTTCCCCTAATATTTACAGTATGTGATTTTTATTATGTTTATGATAAAAATAATGAAAATACTTCCTCTGCTATGGAGACAGAATAGCTTCTAACTCATCACATCCCAACACGACACAGCTCTCCGGCCTCTTCTCTCACCCTTTGGAAAGCACAAGAATTCCCCTTTCTTAAGTCTGCTATCCTCTAAAGGCCGAAGTCATTTCATGGGATCCTTGAGGCAATCACCTCTCTGCAGAGGACATCAGTCACCTTCACTCTCCTCCCCGTAAGGACCACATTGTTCCAAAGAATCCCAGAACCAAAGAATCAAAGGAAGGACAGAGAGGAGGACTGAGTTCTACGGCAGCTGCTCTCAAAGTGCCCTGGAAAAGACGGTGCGGTTGGCACCCTGAAGACCTCAGCCCAGTCCAGCCTGGCTCTGGCTGAAACCATCGTGTCAACTGCTCCCTGGGTATGGGGACGTTCCTTCACTGACCCCAAGCATTCAAACACCCCACCACAGGGCAACGGTTAGGGCACCCCGCACCAACTTGATGGGACAGTAGGCAACCTCACCAAACAACAATCCTGAAGGCTAAATGTGGTCATGTGATGGGGCCCCTGGTTGGCTCAGTGGTGGAGCATCTGCCTTCGGCTCAGGGTGTGATCCTGGAGACCCGGCATCGAGTCCCACATCAGGCTCCCTGCAGGGAGCCTGCTTCTCCCTCTGCCTGTGTCTCTGCCTCAATTTGTGTGCCTCTCATGAATAAATAAGTAAAATCTTTTTAAAAAATTAAATTAAAAAATTAAATAAAAATGGTCATGTGGCAAAGGGCCTCTAATGTCAAGTCGAAAAAAGCAGGTGACTCCATGACACGTCACCATGATGACACCTGTATAAAACAGTTTGTACAGACTGACCGGTAACCGCTGATGTTTAGGATACCCAGACACTAAATAAAAAAAAAAAAAATGGGATCCCTGGGTGGCGCAGCGGTTTGGCGAGACCCAGGATCGAATCCCACGTCGGGCTCCCGGTGCATGGAGCCTGCTTCTCCCTCTGCCTATGTCTCTGCCTCTCTCTCTCTCTCGCTCTCTGTATGACTATCATAAATTAAAAAAAAAAAAAAAAAAGGATACCCAGACACCGTGCCATGTGTTCCACATGCATTTAACCTCCACAGCAAGGCTGACCAGGGCCTAGTATTTCTCGTTCAATCCTCTTGGGGCTCAAGCCTAGGACATCCTACTAATTTCCCTCTGATTGAGCAGCAGCGATTGAGCAGCAGCATGTGATCAGGGCAGACAGGTGGGAGGGAGGGCTGGGACGGGGGACACTCTGTCCCCAGTGCTCATATCCTCAACCCCCAGACTGGGAAGAAATACGCAAGAAATTCCAAAATGCAAGTAGAATTTGTTTTAGAAAAACAAATTTTCTTTTCCCTTCCCTCTCTTACCTAAACTTTTTAATGCTCTGTTCTCAATGATTTAAAGACAAAAAGAAAAAAAGAGAAAGGCAACAGAAGAGGGGTTCTTTAATGTGTGTGTTTGTGTGTACGGTTTTTTAAACTATGTTTTGATCAAAACACTAAATAAATGCCAATCAAGCCTTTAATATGCTTGGGGGTTCAGGGAAGGAAATGAGGAAAAGAGACAGAGAACATCCAACACAAGCCTGTTCCAAACCAAACCAAACAGTGCCAGGCAGCTGCCTAAATCATCTTTTTTTTTTTTTTAATATTCTCTTTCTATCACCTTTTCCAATTTGTGCATAAATTCTGAAATCATGGAATTAGACGTGATACAAGACACAGAATGTCACAGAATATCCTAACATCACACAGCTGCTATTGACAAAGCTGAGAATAAAACTTATATCTCACGTCCAAACCCCGTATGCTTTCATAAACTGACCCTGGGCTGAATACTCCCGGCTTAGCTAAAGAAAATCTGCATTTACTACAGTTCATATATACACACTGTATTCCAAAAATGGACATTCTATATATTTGTGGATTGTTTAATGACACTCAAAACTGGACAGATTAGAGAGTTCACGTGCACGATCTCACTGTATACCTTATGTTTCTATCAATTTTGAAGACCTAGACACAGAGAAAGCTAAAATAGACATTAATACTTTTTTAAAAAATTCTGCAAAAATAAAAATGAATTATGTATACTGGTCTGTTTGTTAAAAAAAAAAGTCACAAACAATAAACAAAATGAATATTCCCCACAAAAAAAAAAAAAAGAATTCCTAATCCATTCCCCTCCCAAACGTTCCCTGAAGAGCAGGGATAGGCAAGCAGCGCTATCGGACCCCAGGGCCAGACAAGGGGCTGGTCTCTGGGTGGGCAGCAGGCCCAAGGGAGCACATCATGAGGGAGGGAGGGGTGGCTGGCTCAAGAGGTGGGCTCCAACCCAGTTCCCCTTCCCGTGCGTCAACAGACCGGGCCTCAAATCCCCGTCCCAGCAACGTTAAAGTTCAAATTATCATCTCCTCAGCCATTTCCTCAGCTGGCTTCCAGAAAGAGAGCAGATTCAGAGCCAGAACACACAGTTCTCCTGTCAGTGAGGCCCTGTGGCCCGGTGCCCGAAGCTCACGGATGAGCCAAGAACCAGTGTCCAGCTGTGTGGTCCCTGGGCAGTTGACCCCCTGGGGAACCCAGGGCCCAGCACGCCTCAGGTGCGCTTCCCGCCTGCCAGGGTGCTGTGGCCAAGCTCACCCTGCAGCACCTCACTCTACGGGGCAGGGAGCGTGGTCACCCGCCACCCCAGACGCCCTCACTCACATCCGCTGCTGCTTTTCTCGTAGATCGCCACAGACTCAAATCTCATGCATATTTTGGGGGCAGAGAATAGGAAAGAGGCTGAAGGAGGAGGTGGGGTGGGGAGGATAAAAAAGAACGCAGCTCCTGGTGGTGCCCATGCGAAGGGGGTGCCCAGGCCATCTCAGCAGACAAAAGGGCAGGTGCAAGCAAATTACGATCTCCACACTACCAGCTCTGTGCGGGATACTTGGCAGGATGCTACACCTTATTTCATTGTTAAGAACATTTCACAATGTACAAGATGTGAAAGACAGTTCCCAGCCCAGGCCTTGGGGTCAGGCAGCCCTGAGTGCAAATCCAGATCTGCTCCTTGCTGGTCGGGAGCCACGGAGGCTGCATCGCCTCTGGGAGTCTCAGAGTCCGCATATATAAAGCAAAAGCAAAGACAGTGCCCCAGGGTGGAGGGGGCCTCTGTTCTCCCACAGCTGAGGCTCCGTCCCCACCAGGACTCCAGGCTCCGCACTGACCGTGCTGCCCCGGGCACAGCTGCAGAGTGGATGGGCCAGGACTGTGGGCCAGACTGTGAACCCACCAGCTCGCGGCACGTGGAGTGCGCAGGGTCGGAGCCAGAGTGGGCCCTCGTCCCCAGGACCTCCCCCGCCCCCACCCCGGCAAAGGGCCAGCCACTCACGGCACTCCTTCTCATCACTCTTGTCGAAGCAGTCAGGCAGCCCATCACACTGCCAGGCGCCGGGGATGCACCGCCCGTTGCCGCACATGAAGTTGCCTGGAATGTTGCACTCGTTGGTGAAGTTGTTCCCAGGGAGCAGCTGGCTCTCTGCAGGAGAGAGGGGACGGGGGGATCAGACAGGCAGACACGGCAAGGAGCCGCGTCCGCACCGCTGCATGGGCTCTGGTTCGAAACGGGTCACGTGTGCGAGACATCCCGTAGGCGACCTGACTTCCCTGGCCCTCAGTTTCCTCATCTGCAAAATGGACTGATACTCCGCCCCACACCACCCCAGAGACTCGAAGAGAACTAGATGGAAAAATATGGGGAAAGCCTGTAGCAGGTGCTCAGCACACAACAGGTGCTCGCCGACTTCCTTCTTTCTCTGTCGGAAAGCTCGGTCGTAAAACCCAAACATTCTTTCCAGGCCTTTAACAGTGGCTCAACACGAAGGTTCCAGGATAGGAGTGAGCACTGGGCTCCCACCTGCCTCCAAGAGCAGGAACTGCGGGCTCCTTTCAGGCCTCAGACTCCGGGGCCCTACAACCACCGAACACTTGAACTCAGGCCTTCTAGCCCCCACAGCGGGAGAGGGTGGAGAGCACCCAGGTCACTGAACGATTTGCCCAGAGTTCCTGGTAGTTTAGAGCCAAGCCCCAAGGTTTAAATCTACACCACTGAGCACAGTCACCAAACGCCAAGGCCCTGCCAAGATGGGCCAAGTGTCAGGCTGGAAAGCAAACAGGGAAGGCCAGGGCACATGGGCAGGGGTGCTGAATTCATCCACCAATGGACCCCGGGACAGATTTTCAAGGGAGTCAAAATCTGATGAATCTCATCAGTGTGAGCCAGTGGGGTCAACGGCCAGGAGACAAGGAACCACCTGGAGGTAGAGTTGTCTTAGGGGAAAAGGAAAGAAAAAGACCGGGACCTCCTCGGGTTCCTCTTGAATCTCCAATAAGCATTTACTGAATTTTCATGACCAGACACCTGCGCAGGTCCTCACCATGCAGAGTGCAAAGCTGGGGCTCCCCCCTTCAGGCTGGGAAGGCACAGGTGCAGAGAAAGAGGGGGTGCCCACATCTGCCCGAGAGCTAGGAGCAGGGCTGGGCCCAGGATCGTCACCAAAGAGAAGCATCTCATTCCAGACCCCCCGATGTGACCTCCGTACCATACCACTAGCCTTTACTTGGCTTCTTGTGTTTACCTGGAACGCCCTTCAACCTGTGAGTCTCCCACTAATTAACCCCTAGGCACCCTTTCTCATGCAATTTGTTACTCTATGAACTGCTCTCCTACTTCTCCAAGCAGAAACGAGCCCTGCCTCTGTTGTGTGGCTGGAGTACCACCGAGGCGATATAAAAAAATATTTTATAACCGGAACAAGTAAGCATCAACAGATGGGAATGGACACAGTCACAGGCAAGCAGTACGTCAGCTGTGGACATTCCTCGTAGCCACCCCCGCTGCCCCGCCCCCTGCACTCAATTAATAATGTACATGCATGTCTCTCTACTGAAAATGAGCTTTTGCAGTTCACTGAAGATTCTAGAACAGCAGCTATACATGAGGAGGGGGCCTCACTCTGCCCCAACTATCCACACGGGAACCCGAAACACCTCCCTGACCCCTCCTCACTCCATCACCCCCTATGGAGGGCCAATCCCCGAGCCCCGCACATAAACCTCAGTGCCACCCGGCTTGCCTCCAGCCTGAGCGACCACCATCCCGTACCAGCACGCGCCCCGGTCAGTCTCCCAGCTTGGCCTCCCTGCCTCCCCCCACGGCCAGCAAGCCCTTGCTAAAGAGAAAATCCATCATGACACTTTCTCACTTTAAAAAGCTACTGAATGGGGATGCCTGGGTGGCTGAGCGGTTTGGCGCCTGCATTCAGCCCAGGGCCTGATCCTGGAGACTCGCAATCGGGTCCCACGTCGGGCTCCCTGCATGGAGCCTGCTTCTCCCTCTGCCTGTGTCTCTGCCTCTCTCTGTGCCTCTCATGAATAAATAAATAAAATCTAAAAATCTAAAAAAAAAAAAAAAAGCTATTGAATGGCTCCCTAACATTCTTAGGATAAAGTAAAAATTCCAGGCATTAAGAAAGGGTTCCAGGAAAAAGGTGGCATTTGCAGTGGAGGGTGACAGACACAGAGATGAAACAGAGGGCCCCTCGGGCCCGAAGAAAGAGCCCAGGACGGCTCAGCGCAGGACACTGGCCGGTGTGGAACACAAACCCCACAGCTCTGATTGCCAGGGGCTGCAGGCAGACCGTGCCACTATTTCCCTCTACTCCCCTGAGGCGCTCCGTCCACTGGGCCCACACTCAGGATCAGATTCCCTCTCAAGACCCCAAAAAACAGGGCAGCCTGGGTGGCTCAGCGGTTTAGCGCCGCCTTCAGTCCAGGGCCTGACCCCGGAGACCTGGGATCGAGTCCCATGTTGGGCTCCCTGCGTGGAGCCTGCTTCTCCCTCCTCCTGTGTCTCTGCCTCTCTCTCTCTCTCTCTCTCTCTCTCTCTCTCTCTCAATAAGTAAGTAAGTAAGTAAATAAATAAATAAATAAATAAATAAATAAATAAATAAATAAATGGAAAACATTAAAAAAAAAAAAAAGACCCCAAAGAACCACCACTAGTCCTGGGAAAAGCGTGAGACCAGTTCACCACCTTCAGGCAAGGGCAATCTCAGGAGAAGGGGAATCACAGGAGGGGAGCCCAGAAGGCCGGCGGGGCACGGGGTGCGGGGTGCCAGCCAGACACGGAATGCACACCCCAGAACGCGCACCGTCCCCCTGCTTCCTAATGACCCCCGGCTTCAGCTGCAAGCTGCCGGTCCGTGTGCTTTGGAAACCCCCTGCGCTGGCCCAGAGAGTTGGCTCTGGGGAGGCAGGTCCCCCGGAGGATCGCTGCATCTGCGGAGTCCCGCTGATACCCAGATTTCCGGGGGCAGAAAACTGGCCAGATTAGGTGCCAAGGTGCTTGTTGTGAGAGTCACCACCAGGCCGGCGTGGGACGCGGCCTTGACAAACAGAAGGCCGTGGAGCGGACACCCGGGTCGGGCTGTGATACGCGGGCGGTCCTGGCAGCCGCGGGCTTGGGGGGCTTCGGCAGCAGGACGGGGGTCCCCGGGCCGGGGAAGGCCCACGCACAGCTATGCCCTTTGCAAGCTTCTGAGCAACACGTGCCCGGGGCCCCGCGCCGGGGCCTTCAGGGTGGCGATGGTATCACCAAACTCCAAAGCACGAGGAGGAACCAAGGCCGAGAAGCTAAATCCTGTTGGCTCTGAACTCAAAAATCTTCCTCAAACCCATCCCAAGTGCTTTATTAAACTGGCACCGCCCTGTGCGACCCGCCACGACTTCCTGTCCCCTTTAGACCAGTGGTTCTCAACAGGGGATAATTTGCCCCCACCACCCCTCGGGGGACACGTGGAGGTGTCCGGAGACGTTTTTGGTTGTGGCGTCTAGTGAACCGAGGCCAGGACTGCTGCCCATCTGCAATGCACACAGCTGCCCCTCACTACAAAGAATCAGCCGGCCCGAAATGTCTATAGCGCCGAGGCCGAGAAATCCTTGAGAAAGTCTGAGAAAACCAACCCTCCCACTTTCTCTTCTCATGCCCCCCAGTTCTTTCTCCTGCGAGCACACTGAGATCTTGAAATGCCACCGATGATGTCTTGGTACCTTCCCTAACAAGCCTAAAACCTGTGCCATGGTTTACAAGGCCAGTCATGACCCGCCCCGCCTACCACTGCCACCTCATTTCCTCAACATCAGCGTCCTCTCTGTACTGAGGACTCCAGCATTGCTACCTGCTGACTCCGATTCTTCCGTCCACCTTTCACCTGGCGGTAGAGGATGAACTGTGTTCCCCCCCCCCATTCAATAGGTTCAAGTGCCAGTTAGTCCCCTAGTACCTCAGAATGGGATTGTATTCAGAGACAGGGTCTTTAAAGAGGTGATTGATATAAAGTGAGGTCCTTGGGACAGGCCCTGACCCCATATGACTGGTCTGCTTATAAGAAAAGGATAGACACAGGGGCCCCTGGGTGGCTCAGCGGTTTAGCGCCTGCCTTCAGCCCAGGGCATGATCCCAGGTCCCGGGATCAAGTCCCACGTCGGGGTCCCTGCAGGGAGCCTGCTTCTCTCTCTGCCTGTGTCTCTGCCTCTCTCTGTGTCCCTAGTGAATAAATAAATAAAATCATAAAAAAAAAAAAAAAGAGGATAGATACATGCCCAGAGACCACAGGAGGACACGGAGAAGATGGCCATCTATCTGCAAGCCAAGGAGAGAAGCCTCAGGAGAAACCAGCCCTACCCCAACCTTGAGCTCAGACTTACAGCCTCCAGACCTGCGAGGAAACAAATCTCTGTGGTTTGAGCCAGCCAGGCTGCGGTGCTTTATCCGGGCGGTGGAAGCAAACTCATGGATCTGGCTCATCTTCTCACTCGTCCTTCAGCCCTCGGCTTGATATCACTTACAGCTGGGGCCTCTGCATGGACACCCCATCTAAAGTGGGTCCCCCTGGCTTTTCACTCTGACAGTGTCCTGTGTTGTCCTTTATCCCATCTGTGCTCACTGCTGCGTCTCTACTCCCTCCCCACGGGCTGCACGCTACCGAAGGCAGAGGGGCACCATTTCACTCAGCACATCCCTGGCACCAGGCGCCCGGTGGGTCCCCAGGAGATGTTTGTGGGTGCTCTTAGAGGAAAACCAAGCATTCAGCTATGATTTATTCCCATCCCTCATACTCTTCCTTGCAAAGTTCCATCCACTTCCTGCCTCATCCCCAAGAAAGGGAGTGGGGACCTGTACATACATAGTTAAAAATAAGGGACATGGGGGTGTCTGGACAGGTGCACGTAAATTACTACCCCATCTGCTTTAAAAGAGGTAAGAAATCTTTTCAGCCCGACATTAGGACTTTCTAGTGGCTGAAATATTTATCCCATCTCAGTGTCGTGGGACAAATTTAGAATCCAAAAAAGACAAGCATTAGCACAAAGTTGGCTAGCTGGGGTTTCTCCTTCTCCCTTTTCTTTTTTTCATTAAGCTGAAAAATGAAAGAGTTGCCCATTTTCACTGCAGCACATCACTTACTTAAAATAACT